TATGTCAAAAAAATTCATCGTCGTTTACCGACAATACCATGTGCATACAATTGTTTTTGAAATTCAATTGGAATTGTTCTTTTTGGAAATTGTATAAAATTTCATATTTTCGGGTGTCTAATCATGGATCTTGACCTGCATGTACCCTCTCTGAAAAGTTATTGAACACTTTCGAGAGACCAAATACTAGCAGAGTCTGGAAGAAGAATAACCATAAAATTAGTCATAGTTTCGGTGTCACTTATATAGATGAATGAGAGCAAAACAAAAGGGTAGATAAAAGCAGAGTGATTAAATCTTATTAATATCTTAAACGGTAAGGTCTTAGATTATCTTATCAAAATCTTAAAGGATAAGATTTTAGAAGTGTCTAAGATTTTTACTAGGAATTAGGTGCATAGTACTAAAATCAATGTGATTTCACGCTAATACTAGTGTATTGTACCTAACTTTTGCATTTGACATATCTTAATCATATTAACTAATCACTTTTGTGAAAGATGTTCGAATAAGAAGGAAGTGATGATCTACGTGTTAGCGTTGGATGATTATAACGGTCGTTTTTTCTTTATTTCATTATTTCGTATTTAATATACACCCACTACTATATAGTGATATCTGACTCTTTCGATACACATTCTAGTTTTAAGATTATCATGAGAAGAAGATGAGAAAATTTTTCTATCATAAAGATTTTTAAACAAAAAAATAGAATAAACAGACAATGACTTAAAGAAGTTCATGTATCTTACTTTTTAGTCCGTTCCTTTTTCAATTCATTAATACTTATATAACATTATTCTTAAAAAGAAATAGAAAATGAAGTATGATTAAACTACCATCCACCTACTCACATTTGTAAGTGAAATTGTATGCCAGTATTAATATATATATATATAACTACAGCTTATGTATAGTGCGATCATGTTCACCATCGAAGATAATATATTTACTAACTACAAATGTATATTTTTTCAGAAGAATAATTTTCTATCCATCATTTCAAACGTATCCAACAACATCACACATATAATAGACAAATTCAAGTAGGTACCACATTCACTTTTATACATATCATACACAAAGTGAATAAACTTTCTCATCAATCAGCATTTATTTAAGAATAAGTATTTTCATTGAATATTGATTGAATCACGACTTAATTCATATAAAAGAAAAGATAGAAATTACTTTTTGAGTCAAAGATACATATATTTTTCTACTTTTCACTCATTTATTATTAGATTTAAAATAATGAAATTTATTTTTCTATGTTTTTTTAGTTATTATGGCATTAACATTTAATAATATTTCATTTTTCATGGTATTAGCAATTTTTCTAATATTGCGTTGTCAAGCAAGAAGTATTCATTCTCTAAGTGAATCTGCAGAACATACACCATCCGCCGCATCATTAGCTGATTCAAATAATTTGATTTATCCATCAAGTGATTCATCTTATTTACAAGATTTATATGAAAATCGTCAACATTATTTACTTGATAATAATGTCGATATGGTTCCAATTATGATTAATCCAAATCTTTTAGCATACATGGCACATTCAGACAGTATTAATAATGATTTAATTTTACAAAAATATTGGGGAAAATTGTATCATGATTATACTACAAAATTCAATCAACAACAACGACCAATAACAAAATTTATACAATTTCCAAAAAGAACAATTCCAATTGAATTTCAAAAACAATTGTATGCACATGGTATTGTCGGTAAACGACGATGAATTTTTTTGACATAATAATAATAATAATAATAATGATTATGTTCTGTTCTATTCATAAAATTCCATGCTGGAAACAACATTAGGATAACTTCTTTTAAACACAGTAAAGTTATTTTTTTGAATTTTTCTGCATAAGTTTTAGAATCAACTCAAATTAGGCGTTAAATATTTGATCACTTTACACTGTTTAAAAACATGTTTTAACAAATACATTAAAAAAAATTTTCAAACATAGCAGTAATCAACAATTATAACGGCAATGATTTCATTAATGTTTCTTGTGATGAGGTGACTATCTGATTTGTAGATTATTTGTAGATTTCCTGCTTTTCATCAGTTTTAGGCTCGGATGATCTATTTTGAAATATTAGAGCTGTAGTAAATAAGCAATGCTGGCATTGCTTATTTGATATGGCTCGGCTCTGCTATCAGTTTGAATATAACTGGATGTAGCACTATAATAAGCTAAAAGATCCTGCCGATTTTTTAACCTATCTCGAAATTCCATTAGTTGTATATAGTTGGATGTAGAATGAATAACTATATCAAATTCTGTTTTTCGTTGTGTTAATTCTCATCTCTGCGAAACGATAAGAGACCTTAAAGTTGTCTTGGTTTTGCTGTAAAATCCGTATACACCGTTAGAAATTTTAATCTTTTTAGCGAATAATATCATTTCTTTATTTCTTTCTTCTTTAATTACACAAAAAAAGGGAGGGCTGCGCGATTACAATTACAAAATGTAAAGTTCATACATTGCTATTATCTGTAGAATTAAGAATTCTAGAATTATGAACTTT